AGCGTAATAATAATAAACGGACCAATTACAATAGGGACCTCCCAGCGGTCTCTGGCTCGGTCCCTAATTAATTATGAAACAGTGAAAAATGATTTTATCTCTGAAACCAGAATAAAAAAAAATCAGCAGGACGTTAACGAGTCCTTAATGAGAGCAGACAATGATGATGATGATGATGATGATGATGATGATGATGATGATGTACAGTTTCCCTTCAGTTTCCTCTGAATATACGCAGACATCAGTAATAAAAGATCAATAATGAAGCTGATCAGACCTCCTCTGCTCCTTCCTTGAAACATCTGCTCAGTTTTTCCAGCACACACGATTATAGATTATAGATTATAGATTAAAGATTTATGTTTATGTACATTATTTATTTACATTTAAAAAACTTTAATGAAAATATTTGTTTTTCTCTGTTATCAGAAACTGTGGATTCATCGTGGCGTCCTCCTTCAGTCTGATCAATATGATTTACCAATATCAAGTTCACCTGTTGTGACATCACTGATGGGGGCGTGGCTACGAGCTGCAGGTGAGCATTAACACAGAGACAGTGAAAACTGACTGATTTAATAGTCTGTCTGGATCAGAGCTTTGATTCTCTGCTGAACCTGAATGGACCCGACACGACCCGCCAGGTTCGGGCCCAAAACTGCTGCTATAGGTCGGGTTCGGGTCCGGTTTTGTTTTAAATAAATATTGAATATTTTATTAATAGTTCATTCAACTGTAATTAATGAGTCAATTAGTTACTTATGCTTCGGGACCTCACCTGCAGCTCAGACCAGCTCCAACAGCCAATCAGCTGTGAGTTTGTTCATTGTGTTCAGTCTGTCCTTTCTGGGCCGAACTCGTCTGTCGTCACGCTCTAGGACGCAGCTGTTACCATGGTTACTCTGGAGTTACGCAAGAGTTACCATGGTTACACACAGGGACATAAATGTTATTATAGGAACGTCACGGTTACACTGCGGGAGGAAGCAGTTGCCGTGGTTACCGGTGAGGACTCTGCGGTTACCATGGTTACATTGTAGGTTACATTGTAGGGGACACAGTGGTTACCGTGGTTACACTGGAGGACACAGTTGTTTCCTGTGATGTCACGTTTGTGCGTTGTTTGTTTTGATGATGTCATTGATTAAAAAAAGTTCCGGCAAATCAAAAAAAGCTCCAGCCAATCAGATCCCCGCGTGCGCGATGATGTCATCAGTGGTCCTCGTCCATGCTGAAGCTGCTCCGCCTGCTGCTGGTCTTTGAGGCTCCGCAGGACAGCAGGGGGTCGGACATCGCCCCGCCTCCCCCCTCCTCCATCAGGATGTCCCCCAGCTCTGTCAGACCCACGTCGGACAGCAGGTCCGGGGAGAAGACGGCGGACGCCCCCCGAGGCTCGTCCAGGTCCACGAAGCTCAGGGCATCCAGACCCAGGGAGGGGGTCACCAGCGAGGAGGAGGAAGAGGGGGAGGAGAAGGGGAGAGGCAGTGGGGGGGAGAGTAGGGTCTGGGGGTCCAGAGAGGAGGAGGAGGAGGAGGCGGGAAGAGGTGAGGAGGAGGAGGAGGAGGAGAAGGCATGGAGGCGAGCCTGAAGCTCCAGCTCCTACAGACAGACAGGAAGTGACAACGTATCAATCAGTGTCTATTGATCTGACAGCGTTTTATTATTATGATATTTTATTACATTACGACATCTTCGATCTGCTTCAAATCAATAAAAATCTTTAAGATAAAAGCAGAAACAGATCTCTGCATATTTATACTGTTATTATTAAAAGCATTTAATGTGTCATAGTTTTATTTCTCTGACTTCACACAGGTTTCACAGGTTCTTATCGATCCTGGTGGAGCCTCCTGCCATGGTCCTGCTAGACTGCCATTGCTAATATAACTGATATTATTATTATTATTATTATGAGTATTTTTATTACTACAGTTACTATTATTACTATTGTCACTGCTCATTGTCCCCCATCGGTGCTGTTGTTGTCGTCATCATCTTCTTCATGTTCATCTTCATCAGTCACTGCTATTAGTGTAGTTGTTGCTACTGTTGTTGCTGTGCACCTGTCTGTCTGTCTGTCTGTCTGTCTGTCTCTCTCTCTCTCTCTCTCACCCCAACTGGTCGAGACAGACGACCACCCACCTAGAGCCGGAGGATCTGTCCTAGGTTTCTGCCTTTTAACAGGCAGTGTTTCCTTGCCCTTGTCTCCAAGGTCTTGCTCATGGTGGTACTGTTGGGTCTCTGTAATTAATGTTATAAAGAGTTCGGTCTAGACCTGCTCTATTTGAAAAGTGTCCTGAGATAACTTCTGACAAAACAAAAACAACAAATGCCAACTTAAGGGTCACTAGTTTTTTCCTGAAATATTTTTAATTTAATGGTATCAAAACAGGTGAAAACTTTCGGTGGTTTAGACTACAACCTGGAGACTAGTGTTTGATTTTATATTCCCAACATGTAACATGAAGGTAAATATGATCAGCTATTTGTTCTAATGAGG